GCAGAAACAGGGAAATGGACACAGGCCAATTTACTCTCTTTTGTTAAATCTCACCAGTGCCTTGCCTTATTTGCAACTACTTCAGTTTCAAAGCCAGGCAGATTCTGGTTCTTTCCTTATGCAAATATTGATTTATTAAGAGACTAATTCATACATAGCTAGAAGATAATTATCTGTGCACATTAAGCCAGATGAGCCATCCTCTATCACCTGCTTCTTTTTAAAAATGAATTAAAATTTACTGTGGGATATAAGTAAATCTCACTGAGAAAACATGAAATCTCTTTATCTTTTTACAATCATAACAGAAGCAGCCGTTACCATTCATTTTTAGAAACCAGCTCACATTTTTTTCCTTAACAACATTTTAAAATGTATTGTTCTATTTTTGGGGGTGGGGGTGTAATTCTTCTCAATTGTGGTTATAGATACATAAAATGTATCATCTTAGCCATTTTTATGTGTACAGCTCAGTAGTATTATGTACATTCAAACTGTGTGTAACCATCACCCCCATCGATCTTCATAACTCTTTTTGTCTTGCAAAATTAAATTAAAACTCTGTACCCATTAAACAAAACTCCCCATTCTTCTCTCCCCAGCCTTTGGTAACCACCATTCTATAATATTTTCTGTCTCTATGGGTAGAAACCAACTAACTTGTAAAGGACTCAATGGTGTCTATCATTTTGTGAGGCAGACAGACCTGTGTTACTCTCTGTTGCTTCTAAGCACCTAGCATAGTGCCTTGTACATGTCATGTATTCAATAAATGTTTGCACACTGACTAAGTGAATGAATGATAGTTCCAACTCCTGGTCCGCCCTCAGGTGACCCTAAGTTAAAGACTCAGACATACAGGAAATATAGGTTGGATGCAAAGAGAATATTATTGATGGAGAAGGACACCAGCATTTTGCCGCTCTATTTGTCTCCACCCAAAATTCATTCCACAAATATAAACTGAATGCTTCTATATGATGGAAGTACACTAGAGCCTCAAATACAAAGATGAACACATAGACTGTGCCTCCAATGTGTGCCTTCCCATGATCACTTCATAGCACTGATTACACTCTAGTGTAATCGTGTATGTATCTGCCCTGCCACTATACTGTTAGCTCTGGCCAGGATATTGTCCATCACGTAGTAAGCACTCACTCAATAAATAGTTGGCGAATCATCTAATGGAGACTGTAGCCCACTGTGGGGAAAAAGACGCACAATCATACAGAGTCAGTATCCTTAGTTGTACGAAAGAAAAGCTGCTGACTCTTGCCGATATAGCAGAAAAGGATTATATTGAAGATACTGGGTAGCTCTCAGGTGTGTTGGAAGGTGCAGAGATTCAAGACTGGGCCCATGCCTCTAGGAATAATGCACAAAATCACTGCAGAACTAGCCCAGCGAGAAAACTATCACCATTGCAGCTCTCTGTCAATACCACTATTACATCAGAAACTCAATGTTGCAACCACTGAGAAACTAATGTCACTGCTAGTGCTGCCAACAAAGCCAGCCGCCTGGCTATTAGGGCTATTCATACCAGCAAGGAAAGGAGCTCCAAAACGAGCCACTATCCTCTGGTTGCTCATACCTGAATTTAAGTTTGATATGGATGAGCCTGACTGGCAAAGCCTAGGTTATATTCTTAAGCCCAGTTGTAATGGAGGCTGGGAATTTGAGCTCTAAATAAAAGAAAGTAGGCTGGGTGCAGTCACTCATGCTTGTAATCCCAACACTTTGAGAGGCCAAGGCAGGCAGATCACTTCTGGTCAGGAGTTCAAAGACAGCCTGGCCAACATGGGGAAACCCCGTCTCTACTAAAAATACAAAAGTTAGCAAGGCATGGTGGCACATGCCTGTAGTCCTAGCTACTCAGGAGGCTGAGGCATGAGAATCGCATGAACTTGCGAGGCAGAGGTTGCAGTGAGGTGATATTGTGCCCCACACTCCATCCTGGGCGACAGAGCAAGATTCTGTCTCAAAAAAAAAAGCAAGTGATTCCTATGACACAAATCCAGTAGCAATATGCAATAGACACTAGGCCTAAATATACATTCACTTTTTTATTCTCATGGAACTTGTATTTTTGTAGGAAAGACAAACAATAAACACATAAATGAACATAATGACGGACAGCACTAGATGCCACAAAGAGAAACAGAGTTGTAAACTAGGGTATTCAAGAAGGACTTTCCTCAGATGAGCAGTCTTGAAGGATGTGAGGAAGCAGCAAGTACAGAGTCTCTGGGATGGAAACTGACTTGACGTTTCTAAAGTGCTGCAAAGAGGCTGGAGCTGAGAAGTGAAGGAGAGAGTAGAAAAAGAGGTGGAAAGGGCAGCCATGGACCATGTCATGTAGTCCTTGCAGGCCATGGTTTTGGACTCTGTTAAGTGGCAAGGGAATGGCATAATCTGACATATTTTAAAAGAATCACACTGGCTGCTATGTGGAGAATATTTTACAGAGAACAAGGGTAGAGACCCAGCTAATCAATGTATAAGCAGAGGGATCCAATCACTAAAATCCACCCAGATGGTTGGGGAGATGGGATATGAAGGGAATCTTGAGAGAGGAGTAGAAACTACCCAAAAGAAAAGGTTAGAGGGCATCATGGGCAAAGGGAAGAACAGGAGCAAGAACACAGCGGCATGGAAGACCCCAGCATATGTGGAAAACTTCGAGTGGTCTGGTGAGGTTACAGAGAGGGATTTAGACATGAGGATGGAATGGAGGAGAGACCTAAACGGCCAAGGGCTGCCCATGTTGTTCTTTTAACTTTTCACATCACCAAAGTAAAATGTTGGTACAGTGATAGGGGCTGAACCTGAGGCACAACTGGGGCTACAACTTCCCTGGGAGGCTAGTCCTCCCAATAGAGTTTCCAAGAGAGCAGGAAGGCCACACAGTTCCTTGCTCTTCCCCTCTCCTCAGACTAGAAAAAACATGGGCAACCCACAGTACTGAGCTGTCAGTATCAAAGCAAAGCTGGGCACACCCACTCACTGTGGTGTGGCAATCAGATAGCAGAGATCTGAAGGTGTCTCCAACAGGTCAGTCTCCAGGAAAAACTGTCCAAGTAAACATGTTGTTTTCCACACTTAGTTTCTGCTGCTATCACACAAATACCTTAAATGGGATACTTTATAAACAAACTTATAAACAATAGAAATCTATATGCCCCAGTTCTGGAGGCTGGGAAGTTGAGAGAGCAAGGCATTAACAGATTTGGTGTCTGGTGAGGGCCCTTTGCCTCATAGATGGCGTCTTCCTGCTGTGCCCTCACGGGGCAGAAGGGTGAAACAAGTTCCCTCAGGCCTCCTTTATAAGGGCATTAATCCCATTCATTAGCAACCAAATCACCTCCCAAAAGCCTCACATTTTCTTTTTTTTTTTCCTTGAGACAAGTTTCACTCTCTCCCAGCGTGGAGCGCAGCGCCGTGATCTCGGCTTACTGCAACCTCCACCTCCCGGGTTCAAGCGATTCTCGTGCCTCAGCCTCCCAAGCAGCTGGGATTATAGGCATGTGCCACCACGCCCAGCTAATCATTTGTATTTTTAGTAGAGGCGGGGTTTCACCATGTTGGTCAAGCCGGTCTTCAACTCCTCACCTCAAACGATCTACCCTTTTCAGCTTCCCAAAGTGCTGGGATTACAGGTGCGAGCCACTACGCCCGCCCACGTTCCACATATTATTATCATCACCTTGAGGATTAGGTTTCAACACTTGAATGTGGTGGGGATATAAACATCCAGACCTCTGATTCCACCCCAGATTCCCAGGCTGTAAGTACACTCAGCCTTAAAGGAAGTATTAGCTGGGGGTGGGTGAAGAGAATAGAGGAAAGTATTCCAGAAGGAAAGAACAATGTATGCAAATGCCAGGAACCAGAAAGCACCCTTCTCCATGGGCAACAAAACCAAGGCTGGAAAGACAGGTTGGGCCTAGATTGTGAAATGCTTGGATAATGGGGTAGTTACCGAACGGTTTATTCCTAAACCAGATTCCCCAGTTAAATACAGTAACCAAAACCGAAATGTGCAGTGCTTGCTTTTTGTCCATGATAGATGCTAGGGAAACATTTGCAGGTTTGCTGATTGAATCCACAGATGGAAGTCTGTAAACTTAGGACAGATTGTCTCGGTTAATCTCTATGACCAGTCAGACTTCGGTAATGATGGATTTGCTTGACACGAGAAAGTTCCACTTCTCATAAGTTTTGAGAACTTAACTGCAATGTGGCCTTTATGAGATGAAATCTGGCTCAGGTGCCAAAGATCTGCAACATTAACACCTTTGCAGGTGGGAATTCACTGTGATTTTAGGTTCCCTGGATCCTTCAGTCTTCTACTTCAGCTGAGGGTTCCCACCCAAGCCAGGACTCAGCCTTTGTTATTCTCCTGCATCAGCCACAGGTCGCTACCTGTCACTTCAGAGTTCTGAGCACAATGAAAATGCAGACTTTACAAGCACTTCAAGTCAAGACAAGTGATTAGCATTGGCACCAAGGGGTTTAAGAGGAACTCAGCCAAAAACTGTTCAAAACTAGCCATTTCATCCGAAGTGGGACACCAGGGCCCAAGGAGAGAAGAAGCTGGTTGGATTAATGCATACCCCCGCTTTCCATGACTCTTGTATTTCAGTGAGAGTTGCTACCAACTCCTGCGGGCGCCCCCACCCGCCCACTCCACTAATCTCTTGTCTTATCCAGAGATACAAGGAACCCGTGGAGAAGATGAGGTACAACTGGGATAAGGAGATCGTAGGTGTTTTACATTTGAATTTAAGCAACAAATCTGTCGAGCTGTTTTTCTGCACTTCCCCCTTAGGCTGGGTCACGCGGGGGGAAAGCTCCAACCGCCCGGGACTCCTTAGAGTGAATCCCATCCCCTCAAGTTCCTCTCCAGAACCTCCCCCTACTCCCGCCCTAGCCCTGCAACTCCTCCCTCTCACTCTGAGTCGCACGCACCCCTGTCCCCTTCCTGCCCGCAAAACTACTCTTCAAAGACTTCCTTCCGGGCACCGCGAAGCCGGCGTGCTCAGCATTCGGAGAGGCAGCGGCGTTCGCCTTCATCCAGGACAACAAAACTGCCATTTCCGAAGAGAAAGGAAACGGCTCGCGGCTTCTGGAGTTCCCAGGCGCGGGCCTGCGAGGGAGGCCGGGAGCCGAGTCGCCACGCCCAGAACCCCGAGCCCGCCCCCGCGCCAGCCAGCCCGGCCCTGCACGCGACGCCCCCTCCAGGTCCCGCTCCTGCGCCCTATTTGGTCATTCGGGGGGCAAGTGGCGGGAGGGGGAGACGTGAGCGGCCGAAGGGGAAGCGGAGCCGGCGCCGGCTGCACAGAGGAGCCGCTCTTGCCGCCGCCACCTCGGCTGGGAACCCACGAGGCCGCCGCATCCTGCCCTCGGAACAATGGGGCTCGGCGCGCGAGGTGCCTGGGCCGCGCTGCTCCTGGGAACGCTGCAGGTGCTAGCGCTGCTGGGGGCCGCCCATGAAAGCGCACCCATGGCGGGTAAGTGGCCGCGGGGATCGCCAGCCCCGTTCGTGGGACGTAGCGCGCTGCCGAGGCTTGGGTTCCCAAGTTGGGCTCTGGTACAGAAAGTTCCGCATGTCTCTGGCCGAACGCTCGGGGCAGACCCGGAGGTGACCGGGCGGGGTGGGGGAAACTGAGGCTTGGACCAGTCACCCGCTGGCCCCGGGGCCGCCTCCTGAGGAAATTGCCCGGTGCTTCCCGAACTCGCTTTTTAGAAGCGGCGGTCTCAGGCCGGGACGGGTGCGCATAACCTGTTGAGTTACCACAAGTTGGTTTTTACAGCCATTCCCTGAAGTTAATGTTTGCCGAGGTTAGAGTTTATCTAAGGCTTCCGTTTGTAAACAGGATTAGCTGAGTTGAAAAATATGTCTACCGAGGCCCGCGGAAACGTCTCCCAGTTAGTTGGGGAGCTTTTCAAGCGTCTCCCCGGCATTTCATCGTCTAATATTATGCAGCATTATCCAGATGACTTACAGTCTTAAGGTTGCCCTGACGCTCGAAGTTAGACTTCGGAGCTCTTGGAGCTAGCTGGGAGTCTTTGGGGAGCGCGCCCCGCCCTCGCGGCAGTTGAGGCGGCTGCCCTCTTGGCGGGGCGCTCTCCACCCCTCGTGTGCCACAAACACCCGGCCGCGGCGCGCGGCAGCTGCGCAGCGTTAAGGGCACAGCTGCACGGTAGCCGGTGGCCCGCGTCGTCGCTAGTAAGGTCGTAACAGGACGATGTTGACATTGCTTTTCTGTGTAGGGCGGAATTTGTTTCCTTTTAGGCCCTTGGCCCTTTGGAGACTTTAAACAGCCCTTTTTGGATGAAACCAGGAAGTTGGGATTTGCTGTGTAAATACTGTTCTCCTTGGTCAACTGTTACAGAAGTCAGGTCCCTACGTAATGGTCAGTAAACCAGGATGAGTTAACTTTAAGTGAACCAAGGTTTTCATGGTTTTGAATTCTGTCCATCCACTGTGTATTTAGCCTTAGGTTCGTTTTATCCAGCAAGAGAAAAAGAAGGCAGTTTGTAAATCTGGAAGGTTCAGGCACAACACTTGCTTTTTCTGGAACGATCTGGGTGAATTCATTTTTCTTCGTTTTGCTGAAGTTTTTTTGTTTGCTTAATTGTGCATGTGACACACTGGCTTCGCAGACCTAATTTTGAGATCGTTTAAGAAAAAAGTGGTAAAATCATGTCCATCGTGTATCTTGGTCCTCATTTTATACCAATTATTTCATGAGGTGAGGTCTCCATTTTAAAAAATGTGTTGCTGTGTTTGTGAAGATAAACCTTACTGTTCCAGTGAATTACCGGTTAGAGTAATTGTGAGAGACCATGTTTTTCTTTCTTTTGCCCTCATAACACAGATTTTTTTTTGTCCTATTTTAACACTCACTGTTTGTTCTGTTTATTACTTAATGTCTTTCTAGAGGTTAGTCCCATTTGGAAAACTTAAAATGCTCTGTAGTAGGAGAGCCCTGAATTCATAAACTAGTATAACCAGCCAGAGGTGGAATCTGTTTCTACAGACTATGATGTCACCTTGCAACTAGACTAAAAGGTAACAATAGAAGATTTCTCAAAAAAGCTAGTAACTGTTAATCCAAGTCTTCATATATAGTGAAATCTGCATACAATGTCATTACGGAGTATAGTGATTTTTAGCAATCATACTAAAACTGGTATGGCTGATTTTTACTGGATACATTTTCTTTGCATCCCACACTATACTAATTTAGGTCCGTAAATCATCCCATTGGATCCTCACAGTATTGTCCCCATTTTATAGATAAGTAAGCTAATTTATGGCAAGTAAAACAATTAATACGTGTTTGGTTTCAGATCAGAATCCAAATTTTCAATTAACCATTTCACCACTAAGCCACGTTAGTTGATGATGGCTCTTGAAGTAGATAATGCTTGTATTCCACAGTACTACCATTGCCTAGAATATTGTGGGAGAAGATAAAAACATTATTGAAATTCTGCTTTTAAAATATTCTTAACAGTCTGCTGCATAGCTTTATAAATATCAGTTGGAGGAGGGAGACTATGAGCACGTTTGCAAATCAGTGAACAGGATTTATTGTAGTATTCCAAAGAATGGCATTAACATTAACAGGATGGGAGGGGAGGCTATTAGTCGTTACTCTTAGTGGCAAGTGACAGAAACCCACCTTGAACAACCTCTGTGGAAAGAAGGGACTTTTTTGACTTGTAACTGAAAAATGCAAGGATTGAGGTGGCTTGAAAATGGCTGTATTCAAGGGTTCAAATAAGTTGCCAAGAAATTAAGAAATCATCGTGTAAGAGTGAAAATAGCATGGAAACAAAAACAGGTGTTTGTGTTAGCCCAGCCAAAAGATGATGGTGAGTGGCAATGGAGATAAAAGGGTGGATTCTAGATCTGTTGGGGTTTGGGACTAATCACTTGCGGATGGATTGGAGGGTGGGATGAGGAAGAAAGAAGAATCAAAGGATGACCTCTTGCTTTTGGGGTTGAGCAGCTGGTAATGCAACAATTGGGAAGGTTGGGGGAGGAGCAGGTTTCGAGTAGAAAATCAGTAGTTGCATTTTGGCACTCATATCTGCAGGCTTAGGAATCAAACAATCTGGTCCAATTCTAGTCTCTGCCACTTTCTGTCTGGGTGGCCTTCTCTGGGCCTCAGTTCTTGTCTGCAAAACAATTCTCCTGTCTAAGAATTGTTGAGAGGGTTAGATGAGCTAATGCACATAACCCTGGCTTGTGGTAAGCACCTAATAATGTTGGCAATTATTTGCTATCTGCTGCTAAATACATCTACATAGTCTATTGACCTTGATCTTTTTCAAGTTAATCTTACATTGTATTCTTTTGTGATAAATAGATGATAGTCCCATCAAGAAGAAGAAATTCTCACAAAGAAGAAATTTGCCCAAGAAGTAAAGATAAATCCTTCAAAGTTACTGTTTTTCTTTGTACTTTGAGGATTTTTTTTTTAAGTGTGGGAGAGTTCATCTTTGTGAAAAGGACACAATAATACACTTGCTCTCTTCCTATGTGGTATACATATTTAATCTTCATTAGACAAAAACTCAAAACGAATAAAGCACTCTGAAAAGTTGCTTACTTGGGACATAGAAATCTCTTACATGTTTTCCAAATCTAAAGGTACTAACTTAAAAATTAAAACTGTACTGAGAAGGCTTGCAGTTAAATAAGAAAATCCTATTTTATCCCTCCATTGTATGAAATTAGGGGTGTTGGTGGGGTGGTGCAAGACCTAGAGATGCCTGTGAGTAGGAAGGGCCTCTCCTGAAATGGTCCATTCCACTCATAAGAGCAGAGCTGTCAGTGGCAGAAATTGGTCCATCTGTCCCCAATTGTGTGGGTGAATGAATTTTGGCAAAGCTATTGCATTCAGTGGCTGGTACATAGTAAGTACTATGTAAGTGTTTGTTACATAAGCTAGATGTTTATCTTGAAAAACCTGATAATACAGTCCCTTTTAGTGACAGCTTCAAGATATGTTTCATAACAACAGGGGCAAAAGTAGAACTTCCTGTGGAATAATCTACCCTCCTGACACCACTACTCCCACTCCCCCAGGCAGAAAACCACGTATTGCCAGTATTCTTAGTTATATGTTCTTTCATAACAGGATATTTCTTTATTTTTACAGCATCTGCAAACATAGAGAATTCTGGGCCTCCACACAACTCCAGTGCTAACTCAACAGGTGAGTTTTAAAAGATTAAAAAAACAAATTTTCATTTGTCTAGGGTACATGAAGTAATAACAGCCAGGGAAGTAGGCGTAAGCTGATTGACCTGTTTTAACCCTGAGTTCTTCACCCATGAATCGCAATAACTTGCCCTAGTGCCCTATAGTAGACATCAGTCAGTGATAGTTCACTGGATTAGTCTTTCTCAGTCTTGGAAAGGTGTGAATAAATTCTAAAACAAAAAGGTGTATCAGAATTTCATGTTACAAATTTTTGAAGCACATTTTTAGATGTGGGGGTTTTGTAGTTTGCCTATAGATATGAAATGTCGGTACAGAAGTCTGCAGGTCTTGCTGATGAAACAAATCCCTCTAAACTAGTCAGCCATGGCAGCTTTAATATACCTCTGCTGACTCTAAGGAGACCCTACTTATATTTCACCTATTAGGCAGACTCAACCCAAACACTTGGTGAGGCCCTTACCCTGTGATTTTAGTTTGGGACAAAGCCTTGGGCCTCTGAGTTCACTAGCATGGAAAGATACAAGAACCAGGCTGATGTCATCAATATCAGTAGTAAATCATCAAGGTATGTTTCTTGTAAACAATTTTTAAGTTATCTTCTCACTACCCTTAATCTTCACAGTCGACTGAGTTGGAAACTAGAAAAAGGTACGCAAATCATGTCGCTAACTTGTTTACTTTTATTCAGAGAATATTGACTCTAATGAGCTAGCACATTCTAGGTTCTAAGAATACAAAATGGACCAAGCCTTAACTTCTAGGGGTTTTTGCTTTTTGTTTTTTATTTTGTGGCAAAATATACATGACATAAAATGTGTAACTAACCATTATTTTCAGTGTAAAGCTCAGTGGCGCTAAGTACGTTCATGCTGCTTTGCAACTTGCTGGAGTTTTTATTTCTGTGCGGCATCCCAGTGTTTCACTTAGTTTATGTTCTTGGTTTACTGCTGTTCTTTCTTTCATTATCTCTGCCTTTTCAACTGGTGTCTGGTGTTACATACTCAGGACATAACTTTTATTCTAGTTTTAGTAATTCTACAGGAAACATTTTCATTGAGAGGAAAAAAGTCTAGATAGATTACTCCAAAATGTAGTAGTGGTTATCATTGGGTAGTTGTGAGAGGGTCTTAGTTAAAAAAAATTTGATTATACTATTAGGTACCTTTTCCTTTTGTCCTTTATTGAATCTAATTCTGCACTAAACTTTTAACCTCGGGTAAACAAAGGAGGTAGAAGAAACATAAAGACAGTAGTATTAGCAATAGACACCATTTATTGAATGCATACAACTTACAAGATACTCCTCATACATTTACTAATCTAACCACGGTGAGGGGGGTGTCCTTTCTGGTTTACACATGGGGAAATTGAAACTCAAGAGTGGTTAGGAAATGCCCAAGATCACGTGACACTAAGTGTCACATTCAGGATTTGAAACCCAGTTGTATTCTAAAACCTATGTCTCTTTATCACACTGTCTGAAATGGGTAATGGCCTTACTTTTAAAAAGTGCTTTTCACTGTGAATGATTATTAAAAATCAACTCGGTACTTTGAGGGCAGCTCCAGAGTCAGTGGGATGATTTCAAATGCCCCTTCTAGCACAGGGAAATTTTTTGAGAAGAAAAGCATTGCCTCAAATTTTTCTAGAAGGAGAACAGGTAATACAACTATTAAAAATGTTTTTGCACAATGTGTTATATTTCTCCTAACTGTTGCATTCCTCTTTGTATCTTGAAAACACTTTTGAAACATGTTAAGTTTGTGTATTTTTACAGGATGGATGCTTAACTGTGTTTAGTTACCTAGACCATTGTTGAAGCTTTGTTTCTTTGAACATACTGTTTACCAATTTATTTGGTGCTATTTATTTAGTGCACTTTCTGTGGCACCATATTTCCTCTCACTAGGAAAATAGCATGTTTGGCAAATTCCATTACGATGTGTATTCCAGGAATGTACTGTCGGAAAAAACGGAGACTGCCTGCAGTACTACTTAGAATGTTGGGTGTCTATCACTTTTATAGGACTCACCACATTGGAGTTTCAGAGAATCTTTTTTTCTCTTGTTTTGGTCTCCATCTAAGTTCCTTGAGAGTGAAATCTATGATTTATTCGTTCTGACATCTCACTCTATGCCTGGTGCATAATAGGTATGCAGAATATGTATATTTTTGGTTGGTTGAACTCAATTGTGGAATGAAATACATATTTTGTAATTACTGACTTGCCTTGTCAAAATACTGTTATATACATTTTGCAGATATGTACTAGTTTGTGCTCCAGTCCTATCCATTATTACAGCTGTTCTCTGTTTATACAGTAACATAGATACTTAAAGTCAAACAACAGGAATGGAGGTTGCTTTCCAGTGTACCACTGAGTTACATATAACAGTTCTTTTTTATGTCCTCTAATCATTATTTGAAGACAGCTATACTTTTGACATTCTTGTCTGCAGGGACTTGTTGACACACTTTCATCTTACAGAGAAAATAATTTTCGCTTATTTCATTTGTAGTCAGAGTGTTTATATTTTAGATTCTGTGGATGGATGAATTTACACTTTATAGTGCAAGGAAGACACATGCCCAGATTATTTTTCATAATGGGTTTGGGCAAGGATGTAAGGAAATGTGGCATGGTCTAGATGGGAGTGCAGATATCATCAGTAACTAGAACAGCAGCTCAGTATCATTCAGGGTACAGCTGTCTCCTTGATCATCTAGCATTGATGCTTCCCAACGAAGAGGGATCTGAGAGGATTGGGTTACCATCATCCAGTCTGAAGCTCTTTTCTTGGACATAACTTGCACCAACTCCTTTCCAAAGCCGTTTATCTCTTAATCATGTATGTTCCATTTATTATGATTGCCATTGGTTTGGTTACTTATCCTTGGCCTAGTCATTTGGGCCACCCTAGTGGGGTTAGTTTTTTCCATAGACATGGCAGGGATGGGTAGTTGTGAGAGGGTCTTATTTTAAAAATATTTTATTACACTATTAGGTACCTTTTCCTTTTATCCTTTGTTGAATCTAATTCTGCACTACTGAACTTTTAACCACAATTTTGAGCATTTGGACCTGTCTTGCATTTAGATTTCTACAGAAGAAAGCAGTAGAAATTTGGGAACAGCTTATTCTGTATTCCAATTTTTACCCCCAATTGCAACAATGAAAGTCCTACTGAAGTGGAAAGAATTTATCAGATATATAATCCCATATGTCACACTACCTTCTTCTATTTATTTTAGATAAAATGTTTTATGTGTGAAAAGAATATTAGATGGAAACTTTCTGTGAGTTTGTAAGTCAATCAAAGATAGGAACCAGTTGTCCTGACAGGTTGCTTTAGTTACAAATGGTGATACCGATGATTGATTGATTGATTGATTGATTGATTGATTGATAAAAATGGTGATAGATACAAATAGTGATAGATAGATACACAGACATAGATAGAGATATCAATACTGGTTTTTCTCTAGAGATTTGATGTAGGAAAGAATTTTTCTAACTAAAGAATTCATAGTACATTTAAAGTAACTGCTTCAACTCCGCAGAGAGTTAATTGTTTTCAACTCATGTTTTTGAGATTGCGTCTGAAAATTGCTAGTAATTTTTTTTTATGCTTTAAGTTCTAGGGTACATGTGCACAACATGCAGATTTGTTACATATGTATACATGTGCCATGTTGGTGTGCTGCACCCTTGAACGCATCATTTGCATTAGGTATATCTCCTAATGCTATCCTTCCCCCCACCCCACGACAGGCCCAGGTGTGTGATGTTCCCCGCCCTGTGTCCAAGTTTCTTATTGTTCAATTTCCACCTGTGAGTGAGAACATGAGGTATTTGGTTTTTTTGTCCTTGGGATAATTTGTTTAGAATGATGGTTTCCCGCTTCAGCCATGTCCCTGCAAAAGACATGCACTCATCCTTTTTTGTAGCTGCATAGTATTCCATGTTGTATATGGGTCACATTTTCTTAATCCAGTCTATCACTGATGGATATTTGGGTTGGTTCCAAGTCTTTGCTATTGTGAACACTGCCACAATGAACATACATGTGCGTGTGTCTTTTTTTATTTTTTATTATACTTTAAGTTCTACAGTACATGTGCACAACATGCAGGTTTGTTACATATGTATACATGTGCCATGTTGGTGTGCTGCACCCGTTAACTCGTCATTTACATTAGGTATATCTCCTAATGCTATCCCTTCCCCACTCCCGCCCCGACAGGCCCCAGTGTGTGATGTTCCCCTTCCTGTGTCCAAGTGTTCTCATTGTTCAGTTCCCACCTATGAGTGAGAACATGCGGTGTTTGGTTTTCTGTCCTTGTGATAGTTTGCTCAGAATGATAGATTCCAGCTTCTTCCTTGTCCCTACAAAGGACATGGACTCATCCTTTTTTATGGCTGCATAGTATTCCATGGTGTATATGTGCCACGTTTTCTTAATCCAGTCTTATTGGTGGACGTTTAGGTTGGTTCCAAGTCTTTGCTATTGTGAATAGTGCCGCAATAAACATACGTGTGCATGTGTCTTTATAGCAGCATGATTTATAATCCTTTGGGTATATGCCTAGTAATGGGATGGCTGGGTCAAATGGTATTTCTAGTTCTAGATCCTTGAGGAATCGCCACACTGTCTTCCACAATGGTTGAACTAGTTTATAGTCCCACCAACAATGTAAAAGTGTTCCTGTTTCTCCACATCCTCTCCAGCACTTGTTGTTTCCTGACTTTTTAATGATCACCATTCTAACTGGTGTGAAGTTGTATCTTATTGTGGATTTGATTTGCATTTCTCTGATGGCCAGTGATGATGAGCATTTTTTCATGTGTCTGTTGGCTGCATAAATGTCTTTTGAGAAGTGTCTGTTCATATCTTTTGCCCACTTTTTGATGGGGTTGTTTGATTTTTTTCTTGTAAATTTAAGTTCTTTGTAGATTTTGGATATTAGCCCTTTGTCAGATGGGTAGATTG